AAAATTCAATTGATGAGAGGTATAGTATATCTTATGAGTGAGTAGACTACTACTAATAAATATATAATAATTGTAGATATTGAAACAAACATTGTTTTTCTTAAGGAATAAAAAATAAATGAAAAAATTTATATATATGAAATAAAAAATACACATAAACTAATATATGCTAAAATAATAATAAGATTAATAAAGCATGTATAATGTTTTTGTAATATGGAGTAAACCATTAAACATCAATTTTAAAAAATTTTCAACTTGGAACAATAATTATTGTAATCAAAGAATAAAAAAGATTAATAATCTTCATATATGTATTGGAAATCATTATATATTAACATTTAATATCTAAAACTAAACGTAAGTAGATTTAAGACGTAAGGATATTCATAAAAGACCACTTAAGTAATGTAATAAATGATTATTAATCATAAATAGGAACTAACATTCATTATACTTTTATTTTGAAATAAAACAAATATATTATGTAAGTTATAATATATGTATTCCATATATAATATAATAATTAAAATAGGAATAAATAATTATTCAGAAGTATAATAATTTAATAATTATATTTTCAAAAAATTACCTACACTATGAATTCAATATATATTATCCAAGTATATAATACACTAAATAAATAGTAATATTATATAAATATACCTATTAAAATTGTACGAAAAACAAGAGAAAATATTATTACTATATTTGCATAAGTGTTTATGAAAGAAATATACAGAAACAATTAGAAGAAATGAATCAAAAATATACACCATATATTTATAACAAACTAAATATATCATATTTACCACTAACTGCTATAAATGCATTATTCAGGTTTATTGTATATAGGTTATGTATTGTATATAGAGTTTTGATATTAGGGTTTTATGTTTTTATGTTTTAGGTTTTAGGCTTATTTTCTAGATTTTATGTTTATGCTTTAGTATTCAGAGTTAAGATTTAAAGTACTATTTTTATCTTTTTTTTTTATGAATATTTATATATACACAAATATTTTTATATTAATGAGTATACTGTTAATTTTTTATGTGATAATTT